ATTCTGTGGCTGTTCTTAATATTTTTTAAACAAAAAAACTGAAGAATTAAAATAAGAAAGAGCAAAGTTTTTTTTTAAGATTTTATTTATTTATTTATTTGAGAGAGAGAGAATGATAGATACAGAGCACGAGAGGGAAGAGGGTCAGAGGGAGAAGCAGACTCCCCGCCGAGCAGGGAGCCAGATGCGGGACTCGACCCCGGGACTCCAGGATCATGACCTGAGCTGAAGGCAGTCGCTTAACCAACTGAGCCACCCAGGCGCCCGCAGATATAACAGTTTTATGCAGATGGTCAGAATGTGGTTTCTCCTACTATATACAATTATTTCTAATAAGCTAGCTCCCTTTTATTACGTTCTATTTAAAATTAACTATGGTTCTATAATTGTTAAAGTAGTATCAGATAGACCTGTAAGGTCACTAGTCTGAAGTCAGAATCTGAAACATTCTAATTTCAAATTGTTCTGTAAAGCAAAACCAAAAAATAACAGAGACAAAAAAATTAGTATTATGAAAAGATCTAAAATTCTTTTAAAATAGAAATGGGCAGAAGACATGAACAGACACTTTTCCAAAGAAGACATACAAATGGCCAACAGACACATGAAAAAATGCTCAACATCCCACCGCATCATGGAAATAAAAATCAAAACCACAATGAGATACCACCTCACACCAGTCAGAATGGCTAAAATTAACAAGTCAGGAAACGACAGATGTTGGCGGGGATGCGGAGAAAGGGGAACCCTCCAACATTGTTGGTGGGAATGCAAGCTGGTGCAGCCACTCTGGAAAACAGGATGGAGGCTCCTCAAAAAGCTGAAAATAGAGCTACCCTAAAACCCAGCAATTGCACTACTGGGTATTTATCCAAAGGATACAAACATAGTGATTCAAAGGGGCACATGCACCCCAATGTTTATAGCAGCAATGTCCACAATAGCCCAAATACGGAAAGAGCCCAAATGTCCGTCGATGAATGGATAAAGAAAATGTGGTATATACATATAATGGAATATTACTCAGCCATCAAAAAGAATGAAATCTTGCATTTGCAACCTCATGGATAGAACTAAAGGGTGTTATGCTAAGTGAAGTAAATCAATCAGAAAAAGAGAATTATCATATGATCTCACTCATATGTGGAATTTGAAAAACAAAACAGATGAACATAGGGAAAAGGAAGGAAAAACAAAACAAGATGAATCAGAGAAGGAGGCAAACCATAAGAGACTCTTAATTCAGAAACAAACTGAGGGTTGCTGGAGGGGAGGTGGGGTGGGGAGATGGGGTCACTGGGTGACGGGCATTAAGGAGGGCACTTAATGTGATGAGCACTGGGTGTTGTATGTAACTGATGAATCACTAAATTCTACCCCTGAAACTAATAATACACTATATTTTAATTGGTTTTCTAATAAATAAATAAATACATAAACAAGGAGGAAAATAAATTGACATAGATTTAGTTATTATTCCTTGGCATATGACCACAGAGTTATAATTAAACATTCTTCTAAACAAGTCTTTTAAAATTACTTTAAAAATAATTAATTAATTAAAATAAAATAAAATAAAGAATTTTACATTTATGATTTGGGTTAAAGACTGCTAAGGAAACTTACTGTACATGTTTTCTTTTGCTCTTATTTCTCATTAGTGTCAATATTGGAAGAATGGTGAAAATGTACACTTAGTTACATGATGCCTATTATTGATAAATTAACAACTGCATCAACATAATTATCCCTCTATGGCTACTGAAGAAGTTTGGTAATAAATAATTAACTAATTTGGTTCTTTTAAGATTTTATTTATTTATTTGAGATTGATAGAGAGAGAGCACGAGCAGGAGGACAGGCAGAGGGAGAGGGGAAAGCAGACTCCCTGCTAAGCAGGGAGCAGGATGCAACTTGGGGCTGCATTACAGAACCCTGGGCTCATAACCTGAGCTGAAGGCAGACACTTAATCAACTGAGCCACCCAGGTGCCCCTTATTAATTTGAATTTTTAAATGTATTTACATCTAGACCTATGATTTTAAGCATAATTTTATGAAGTACAGGTAGTTAAAAAAGCTTGAATTGATAATTAAAATTATAGCTCAATGACATCTTTCATCAGGAAATGTTTGCCCATGGAAAAGGTATGCATATTTTTTTGTTTTTTTTAATCTAGGCTCAGAGTTTGTTGCAGATACACAATCCTGCTGATTTTCACAATTTATCTATGATATATGGAGATATGTGCCTCTGTTCTTCTCAGAAGAGACCCAGAATATAAGATTTGTTCATAACCATTTTTAAAAATAAATTTTAGAACACTTTTGGATTTACAGAAAATGAGGACAGAGTTCTTGAATACCCTACCCTTTGTATACTCTACCGTTAATAGCTTACATTACTATGGCACAGTTGTCACAACTAAGAAATTAACATTGGTATTTCACTTTTAAATAAATTCCATATTCAAATTTCACTAGTTTTTCCTTGATGTCCTTTTTCTGTGCCAGAATCCCATCTTGGATGCCCCATTACTGTAGACAATGAGGTTCACTGTGTGCTGTGAAGTTTAAAGGGCTTTGACAAATGCAGGTATCACGTATCCACCATGACAGTACCATACAGATGAGTTCCACCATCTTAAAAAGCACTCTTGTCCCCAATCTTTTGGGAGTTCCAAGAGGATCAGTTTTCAACTGATATTTCAGCTTGATCTTTGGTGGGAAAAACCTAGGCTATGAGTTTTTTCAGGCAGTGGTTCTCAATCCTAGCTGTACACTGGAATTACGTGGCAACCTTTAAAAAATACTAATGACTGGTCCTAACTCCAGATCCTGGTTTCATTGGTCCCTCCTGATTTTATTGGTCTGACATGTGGGCCTGGACATTGAGATTTTGAAAAGCTCCCTAGATGCTCACAATGTGCAGTTAAGATTCAGAACCGCTGATCTTGCATTCATCTGTGTCATGACTGGATTCAGCTGCCTTTTGATAACAACACAAATGATTAATTCATGCATTCTACACCACTTCGGAGGGATACTATGAACTATCATGTAAGTTTTTTAAATAAGTAATATAGCAAGGATGAATTTCACATGCTAAATAATCATGTATGCAAAAACACTATTTACTCTCTAACTGAACCCAAAATGAACTTCAATTTCTACTGCTGAGGGCAAATTTAATTTTGACAAGTCAAAGGGACTCAGTTACTTCACCTTAAAACTTACTTCACCTTAAAACTCACTTCTTAAAATTCAGCTTGGCCCTCTCCCCTTCTCTGTCCATTTTTTTCCCTGCCCCATCTCGGTTTGAGTCCAAGTGAGCTTGAGTGGCATGGTCACGGGGAAGGCACATCTGGTTGGAGGAGGCTTCTGTAGTTATTTTCTGTTTGATCAACCTGGGCAGTGCTGGGTGATCTGTTCTGGGTGTTCCACCATGTTTCAGGTTGGTTTGGCCATCACCTCTGCACTCTAGGGTACTGCTAATCCTCTGACATCCAGCCACTTTCCCTGCCCAGCACTTGTTTTATGGCCTCTACCTAAGTGTCTATTAAAGGGTCCCCAGTCTCTAGATTTTGGTGACTACCTGGTAAGCCACCTGCTTTCAGTTCTCAGCTACCAACTGTGCCCCTCTTCAGGTTGATAATGCAAACCTTGCAAACATTCTCCATACCCCTTGGCAGCTAAGGGAGATTAGGTGGCCTCTTTCAGGTCTGCTCTAAGCTTAGATCTGCCCTGAAACCATTTCTGCTCTACTTTAGTTGCCCCTTCCCAGAATTCTTGACAGAATATAGGTCTACAAGTGCTCTCTGTCCAGGGATCCCCAAATCCCAAATCCATCACAACTCTCCAGAGTTTCAACCCTTAAGAGAGGCCAAGGAACCAAGCCCCATCTTTATATCTTAAGTCTCCTTTTTCCTCTTCCAGTTTCTTCTCACAGTATAAAGAAGGCAAGAAGAGAAAACTGAGACACATTATTACTTATTCCTCCCCAACCTATGGTCTACATCATGAATTCGATGCTTGCTCTCCTCTAGGTTCTGCTAATGATACACAGTGCCAAGATTTTAGAATTTTTTTTTTAAAGATTTTATTTCTTTATTTGAGAGGGAGAGAATGAGAGATGGAGGGCACGAGAGGGAAGAGGGTCGGAGGGAGAAGCAGACTCCCCGCCGAGCAGGGAGCCCGATGCGGGCCTCGATCCCGGGGCTCCAGGATCACGACCTGAGCAGAAGGCAGTCGCTTAACCAACTGAGCCACCCAGGCGCCCAAGATTTTAGAATTTAAAAAACGTTTCTCTCTCAAGAATCTTTCTCAAAATAATGGGTTTATACACTGTTGCTTCTCTTGTGTGTTTTCTAAAAATCCATCCAGAAATCCAGTCTCCTTCTGTGTTCTGGGCTATACCTGCTTTCTGCTCCACTGCAGTGAAAGACACTGACTAAAGTGACAAAGCACTTGAGGCATCAAGAGAATAGTGGCAAAGAAAAATCTCCATTGATGTCTCAGAATAATACCTTCTACCATCATATCATAATATGATATGGACCTGCTACTCCATACGAATGTCAATTTGCAGTTGGATAAATTTGGAAGGCAAAACAATTTCAGTGCAAGTTGTAATAAAGGTCAGTAAGACGTACCTGCATTTAAAGGCACATAGATCTTTCCTCACATGTGACAGAATATGCTGAACATGTATTTTAGGATTGAATAAAAGCCCCAGACCACATGCATTTGAGACCTCAGGACACAGAAGAAGAATATCACATCTATTCTGTATATATTCCAGGAAGATTTCACTGCCAAGGTGACAGGTGGGGATAGCTATCCAGAAGAACTTTAGTCGAAGTCTACTGAGATTTAAAAAAAAAAAAAAAAGACAAATCAAAGCAACTGAAGAATGAAAATCCCCTGGAAAAGCAGATTATTAACTCCGTGCTCAGGATCAAAAGATGAATAACCAGACTTTGTCATTTGTTTCATCCTCAGCTGGAAAGGCAGCTAATGATGCAGAATGAAATGAGAGAAAGACAAATGGCCTTGCAGATTGCTTGGTCTCGGGAATTCCTCAAATATTTTGGAACCTTTTTTGGCATTGCAGCCATCTCTTTAACAGCTGGGTATGTTTGCTATTTACTTTAAATTTTTCTTAAATAATTAGCTTCTTTTTGTTTTTGACATTATCATATTACTATCAAGTTGGCCAAGATAGGACTTTGGTCCAAATACTGTATATATAACCCCTTATAGCTTAGTACTTGGAAGTAACTGTAGAACCAGGGTAGAAATAGTTAATTCTACCTTTAGTTTCTCAGATTTCTTCCATCCTTGTCTCCATTATGTAAGTTAGAGAGAGGACTGACTTGACACCAAGATAGAAGAAGGCCTCTGCAAATTTATCTCCATAATCCCTAAGGGGTAGATATCAATACTTAATCTTTTTTAAATGAGTAATCTGAGCCTCAACATCAAACAAAGATGGGCAAATCACAGATTCTGCCCTTGAGAATTGCAGAATCTGGTGAGGCATTGTGGGTAAGAAAATCCTATTTCCATAGGAGACTCAAATGAACTAAGTAACTTCTAAAATGGAGAACATTCTTCCAAAAAGCAGGTAATTTTTTTTCATTGAGTATAGAGATACGTATTTACAGGTCATTCTTTTTTTTTTTAAAGGTTTTATTTATTTGACAGAGAGAGACACAGCGAGAGAGGGAACACAAGTAGAGGGAGTGGGAGAGGGAGAAGCAGAGCAGGGAGCCCGATGCGGGACTCGATCCCAGGACCCTGAGATCATGACCTGGGCCGAAGGCAGACGCTTAACGACCGAGCTACCCAGGTGCCCCTTTACAGGTCATTCTTAATATTTTTTTCTTTTTTTTCTTGAACCAGAGCAATAAGAAGGAAGAAGCCAGCCTTCCTCTTCCCTATTATTCCATTAAGCTTCATCTTCACATACCAGTATGACTTAGGATATGGAACCCTTCTACAAAGAATGAAAGGTCAGTCTTTGATAAACTAGAATGTATTCCTGATTCATTTTCTGATTCAAGGATCCTCTTCTTACGACCCTTGATTTATGAACATTCTGACAAGACGCCTCTCCCTGAGCTTCCAGTGACCAACATTTCTGCTCCCTCTCACAGCAGTATGCTGGAGTCAGCTCATACCAGCTCACAAGAACTGACTATCAAATTTTCAGGAATTTGTAAGCTGTTTATTAAATACAGTCATTATTAAACATTAAATTAGATAAACTTACAATTAAATAAATTACAAAAAATAATATTAATATTAAATTATATTAAAAACAATGGCAATAAATACTCAGAACTTATCAGTTTTTCATTATTTTACTATTATCTGTACTCTGAAGTTATGTTTATCTATTGTATCTGGGTGATAGAATGCAGATACAATATACACACACAATAAATAACAGATACAACTCCAACTTCAGTGGCATGAAGTTGGTCATGGTGGGAATAGTTATACCATGGAATCTGCACATACCACAAAAAGGCTTGAATTATTATTTTGTTGACCGTCTAAGCCAGGGTTTGGCAAATTATGGCCTGCAGGGTGGCCACATGTTTTTGAAAGTAAAGTTTTATTAAAACAGAGACATGCCCATTCATTTCTGAATTGTCTATGGATGTGTTCCCGTTACCATGACAGAGCTGAGTTACTGGAACAGAGACGTAAGGCCCCACAAACCTAAACTATTTACTGTCTGGCCCTTTTAAGAAAACCTGCCAACCCATAATCTAGATTTAAGGAAGTGATAAAGCAAATGTTAATACTGCGGATTATGCTTAAATGTTTGTTGTGTCAGTAGCCATTACATTGTGAATAGCACAAACAATTGAGGAAATATTCTCCTAACATTTAAAAACTGTTATCAGATTCAGCCAAGTTGTTTACATCATTCCCAAACAAAAAAAGTTCCAACATATGTCATTGTTTCCACTTTTGTCCTGTTTGTTAGGGTAAATGAAAATACCAACCATCATTCATGTTGGAATTATATTCCCTCATCAATTGCAACTATAGCTCAGCTATGAATATGAGAGTTCAACAAAAGTCAGGCAAAACATTCCGTGAGAATCCATTTGCTATGTGAAATTTATAATAAAGTATATTGAACATTTCATTATTTTTTATAAATTATGTGCTACATCTATTTTATATAAGTAAAATTAATAATGAACTTATGTTCATAAGTTTATAACTCATGTACATTTGTTTTTCTGGAGAGCTGGTTGTTAAATAATCACCTCACCGTGCTGCTCTCATGAACTCTGGCTTTGAGTGCCCTAGAAAATAGCACCGCTGCCTCGGAAGCCATCCCTGTACCAGGAAGACTCTCTCATGGGGCCCGTGTCCTTTCTTCTTGAGCCTTCAACCCAAAGCATATTGGAAACTGTGCTTTCCCAAGCCTTCATTTTTGCCATCCTTTCCTCTCCTGGGCTATCTGTGGGCACATCACTATCGCTAAAGCTCTGTGGGGACTGATTTGGTACCTGAAAGGAGGAAGTGCTGACTCCTCTGCAGGTATTGGGACTAGGGAGTAGAACATCTCTTTCCCAGGCCTAGGGAGATACAAGGATTATATGTTCTTAAAAATTCCCATTGAAGATGGGAATTTTCCACACAGAAACTCTGCTAAAAGGTCCCTTGGGGTCAAGCACTATCGGTATCATAGTTCAGCTATATTGTGGACTAAACAGTTTTTTGTTGGTGGTCTAGCAAGTGATTTATTGCATTATCACTATGGGAAAATGTACTTTGAGTTCTAAAACACTGATATACAAACTAAATTTTGGAGTACAATCCCATTTAAGCTGGAAACTAACTACACAACTGATTTGCCAATGTTAAAGCCCATATCAATAACATGGTCAGTTTCATGTTACTCATCTGCTTAAGAATTCATTAGTCTGAGTTCAACTCTGTTTCATTGTTTATATGGACATTAGAATTCTCAGTGCCTCATAAAAATTAAAATTAATATGCATTCACTTGAACATATTACTAATAGAGAACAAGTTTATTTTCTAGGAACATCATGATTGTATATTTGGGAAGTAATTTTATTACAGGTCCATCAGAGTCCACAGAACATACAATTTTAGACTTTCAAGACAGGTGGGAATTTTCTGTTTAAAAAAAATACAACTTTACAGTCTACCAGGAAACTTGCGGTATTTGAAAGTTTAGGTTATAACATTTAGCCCTGTTAACTAGTGATAAACCCAAGATATACCCAATCCTTGTTTGACAGACTTTATCATTAGCCTTTCTGCAAACACATGAGAATTTGCCATACGTGAGGCACTATCACATGGAAACATTTAGTCTGTCATCAGAGGTCTGTATAATTCCATATATTTTTTAGAAGATTTTATTTATTTGAGAGAGTGATTAAGAGAGAGCATGAGCAGGCAGAGGGAGAAGGAGAAACAGGCTCCCCACTGAGCAGGGAGCCCAACGCAGGGTTCAACCCCAGGACCCTGGGATCATGACCTGAGCCAAAGGCAGACGCTTAACCAGCTGAGCCACCCAGGTGCCCCATGTCTAATTACATATAATTTATAATGATTTTTACTTACTATTTAAGACTGAGGCAAAAAAAATATGATTGCAGATGGTTGAAATGTTATAATTTGAAAATTGTAGCCTGCCCTATTCTGTCTAGAATGTAAATTAATTGTGTGCTAAAAGAGAAGTACTTAAAAAGAAACATTTGCTTTCATTCCCAAGGAAAGTTTATAGAATGTCAACAATGTATATTATAATTTTTTTTAATTTTGCTAATTAGTCTTCAACTGGGCCTAAGAAATTACTAGCTATTACTTCAAAGAGGAATTGTTTATAAAAATGCTTATACTTGGGGCGCCTGGGTGGCTGAGTCGTTAAGCGTCTGCCTTCGGCTCAGGTCATGATTCCAGGGTCCTGGTATCGAGCCCTGCATCAGGCTCCCTGCTTGGCAGGAAGCCTGCTTCTCCCTCTCCCACTCCCCCTGCTTGTGTTCCCTCTCTCGCTGTCTCTCTGTCAAATGAATAAATAAAATCTTAAAAAAAAATGCTTATACTTGTGTGTATGTATATATACAGACTAAAGAACATTTAATATTATTTTGGGTATTTACAAGTGGTTTTGGGTAAAAGATTAGCTTTCCTGAAAAAGCAGAAATTCATTAAGCTTTATTTTCTCTCATGTCACATATTAAGGGGCAATACAGCAAAGACTATATTTTGGTTTCTCCATCCCAAAACCCTCCAAACACAACTAATGCTTACCATCCAAGGAAAAAATATTACTTGGTATTCTTTCTCTTCTGCATCTTAAAATGCTGTCTTCTGTCAAGTAAAACCTATGGCATCTGATTGATCTTTCAAAGATTTATTTATATATTTACTTATTTAAGATAGGTAGAGAGAGAGAGAAAGAGAACACAAGCAGGGAAGAGGGGCAGAGCGAGAGGGAGAAGCAGACCTGCTGAGCAGGGAGCCCGATGGTGGGGCTTGATCCCAGGATGACCTGAACCAAAGGCAGAGGCTTAACCAACTAAGCCAACCAGGTGCCCCTGACTGATCTCTCTCTCTGTCTTCAGAATTCCTTTTTCCTCCCAAAGGAAAGAATGGCCTTCCTTTGGGAGATGGCTTCTCCTGAGGACAACAGGTAAAATATTTAAGTGTGAGATTTAGAGGCATGCCTCCACACAGTGTTACAGCTTGTCACTGGAATATAGTAATTTGGCCTTTTCACAAAACACTAATGACCTTTTTGTCACCTTGCATATTTCTGTACTTTATTTAAGGTGAAGCTGAGAACATACTGGAAACAGAAAAGAGTAAGTTGCAGCTGCCAAGAGGCGTGATCACTTTTGAAAACCTTGAAAAAGCCAGAAGGGAACAGAGTAAATTCTTCATAGACAAATGAAATCATGTTTACCCACCAAATCTCAAAACACATAATTATTAACTTGAATCATGGTTTTTACAAATTTTTAGATGATTGAGATTTTGATATAATGGATTTTATTTTACAATATTAAAATGCAAGATGAGTTTTGTTAAACTATTTTAAAATAAAATTTATAACATCAACACAAAATCATGGAGGTATGCTAAATAAGTTTCATATTTCCTATAAATGTGTGTATTACAAATATCTAAATGTATAATTAATAAATTATATTGTTTTGAATTCCTGGAAGCAAATGTCCTACTGCTCTCATTTCTCTGTCACACACACTTTCCCCATCACATTTATCTCCCACAGATACTTCTTTTATTTGGATTTATCAATTGTGTCCTGTCTCCACATGGCAGAAAACAACTAATATTAATGACTAACATTTATATTGTACTTACTATAGCTACTGTTCTGAGTATCTTGCATATATTATTGTAATCATCCCAACAGTCCCTTGAGGCAGGCATCATTTTACGGATGTGTAAACTAAGGCACAGAGAGCTTAAATTACTTGCCCAAGGTCATACATGGGCAGAACTGAGACTTGAATCTAAATGGTTTGGTTCCAGTGAATACGCTCTAAAAGGCTTTGAAAAGCTTAGGTCTTTAACACATTCTGGACATGCAAATACAGCTTTGAAAGACAAAAGGTAAAAACATTCAAATGATGACTCAGGACAGAGTTGCTGAAGAGATGAGAATGGGGGACGTTGATTAGGATGCCTACCTTTTTATTTTCACTCACCAGGAAACCTATACTTGTAACTGTATTTATACCCCTTCCCACAGTTGTAACCCCTACATATGATACAATAATTCCAAAGACATTTCCTGATACCCACTCTGTATCAAGCACTATTGTAGACACTAGGGCTACATGAGTGAATGAGAAGACAAGGTTATTGCATCCTAGGCAGTGGAATACGTTCTAGTAAGGGGTGGGAGAACTAAGGAAAGGAACAAATAAACATGGAGATAAAGAAGACCATTTCTGATGGTCATGAATGCTTCAGTAGAAATGAAACAGGATGATAAAAGAATGATTGGGAGGATGTGGGAGGGGGGACTATAAATCTGGGACAGTAGGGACTGCCTCTCTGAAGAGTAACATTTGAGCTGAGAGCTGAATGATGAATTAGCCAGTCCTGTGAAGAGCAGGAATGGGGACAGGGAAGGGATCTCTCCACAAAGGGAAGAGCCAGAGACTCAGAGACTTGGCATGGCGAAAGAATAGAAAGGCCAAGCGGAATAATAGGAGATGAAACCTGAAGGGAGAAAACAAGCATGAATAGCCGACAAAATGTCGCTGACCACATGTCAGCATATGAGTTTGATACAATCATAGTTGGAGAGAACTTTGGTTGAGGTCTTGAAGGATGCATTGAAGTACTCCATGGAGATAAGGAGGCAGGCTGGGCAGAAGAAGCTTGATTAAAGTGATTAAAGGCAAGACAGGCTATAAATCCAAGGATTTGCTGCTGATTCCATTTGCCTGGGACAAAGGTTTCGTCTGGTAAGGGAGTTAAGAAATGAGCCTGGAGGCACAGCTTATCTCCTGACTAGCTCTGGGGCTTAAGGAATTTGCACTCTATCCTGAGGATAACCAGGTGTGTGTGTGTGTGTGTGTGTAAGAATCTGCATTGGGGTTTTACTGGAATTAGTCTATTACAGGAGGAAGATCCCAGAACCTGCAAGAACAGCAAAACTGGGAAAATCATTTGAGGTTGTGGAAGGAGAAGGTAATTTCACTTCACTGAGTCATTAGCATGGATTTTTCTGGAAGATATAGGAAAGAAGTGATTGGGAAGCACACCAGTGGTCTAAGGGATGCTTAAGATCCAGCACTGGTTTATGGACCATGCCAGAAGCTGGAACTGTATTTCTTTCCCCTTAAATTTAGTCATGCTGTCCAAACATCCCTAACTTGGTCCAGCCAGAGATCACCAAGAATGGGTTTGAGTGCCCTGCAAGGGTTGACTAGCTAAAGACCTTACACAGGATTTGTGTTGGTATGCAACATAGCAGGCTCTGAGCAACCTCTGGACCACCAGGCCATTCATTTGCATTTGCTTCTCACCCTGGCATTGACCCTGAGCCCATTAATAATTGTTATTCAATAGAGCCTCTGCTAAATACACACATTCACATTTTTGTTTGCTCCCAATTGTGAGGCAAAAGTCAAAGCAAAGCTATTAAATAATGGCTTTGCAATTCAACTATATTAAAATATATCCCAACTGTCTTTGGTATTACTGATTATCATCCAAAACTTTTCCCCTTATTTATTATTAAATATAACAATACTATTATTATTATATTATTGAATATAATACTTATAATTGAATGGACAAATATTTTTGCTCTGACATTGTTGAGCCCTTCTTAGTCATTATGTTAGTATTTGCATTAATTACTATTATTACTATTAGTAAGTTCTGATTACCAACCAGGCATCTGATATTTCTAAATACTGAACATGACGTGGTCTTTGTTCGGCTAGCTTATAATCACAGATTTTTGTGATATTACAAGAAGAATGAGGAAATTATTATAAGAAAGTAAATTAGGAGAAAAGAAACTAAGGTCTGATTATAAGCAAGGATTTAGAGATTAGAATAATGGTAACCTCACCTGATGTCTTTTCAGTGATTAGGAACAAAGCTGAAGTGGGGGGATCTCATCTCTATTCCATGTAACTGTGCATCTTCCCCCAAGACACTGCTGACCCAACCAAAACAATGAAGGGACTCCCTCTGCTTCATGTGGAGGTTAAGTCGTGGTGTAAAGGAAATAAATACGGGCCCAGAAGTTCTCTGCAGCAGAATGACCCTTCTTGGAAATCACTTTATAGTAATAAAATATAATGGTAAAAATATAGTTTCTAAGAGCGTAGTACTTAACCATTTTGAATGTTTTAAAATCATATTTAAATGAGAGAACTGGGGACTAAAATTACAGGCACTAAAATTACAAATAAAGTTTATATGGTGTTCTACCCAACTCAGTTTGTGTTTGGGGTAACACTGAAGGGTCCTTTATGGTCTAGCTACACTTTGTAAAGATTATAGAAGTGCCCCAAATCTACTCAAAACAGTTTTAATGACAAATAGTAGAATTACTGTCAAGATGTTAAAAAGAGAAGACCCTTAAAATGGTCTGGTATAAGCCCCCATTTTCTTAAGAAAATGGAGGCCTTTAGCGATCTACCTAAAATTCCACATCTGGTAATGGGTAGTTTGTACTAAAATGTTGGTGTTTTGAATCCCTGCCAGGACTCTTTCCAATGCAACATGCTGCATGACTCTGAAACATGGAGTAACAATGAAAGTCAAAATCAAAAATGTATGTTTCAATTATCATATATCCTCAGCCTCAGAATCCTAGAAGAGGGGATGACAAGGGCAGGGGTTAGCAGAGGATGAGGAGGGAGTGGACTCAAATTCCACAAAATACCTACAACCAATGGGATCTGAATGTGAGCAATCTGAAGTTCATAATATATTTTATAGACTTCGACAATATTAACACATGCAGGTTCAAATGCGATATTCTAGAGACACTAGCCAGAACCTAGATAGTTTTTCTGCTCAACTATTCTGAGAAAGGAACAAACTCTTGCTAGGAAAATATTACTAAATAAAGCCTGTTACTCAGGGGTTACACTATCTCTTGGTCTTGGAGTGTGTCTGTTCTGCTAGAGAGTTGGAAACGCTCCTTAGGTTTGGCCTTGTGGATGCCTACAGAAGATTTCAGGAATACCCTGCATCCTACCAACTGTCCAGTTTGCAGAAAGTAGTTTCTAGTACTCAGGGATGACTACTTAGCATCTCTGCTGATTTTTCTACTGGTAACTTTGGGTCACTCTTGGAGTTTATGAAGACTGGAGAAATGTTTGGGCTGCAGGTGTACCAGGAAGCCCAGACTGGCTAGGGGCAGTGGAGGGGGAGTGAGAAAGGCCTAAAAAATAAGGAAAATAAGAAAAGGGCCAAAGAAGAGTAGTCTTCATGAATGGATGGAACTGACTCAAATGCCCCTTATAGTCAATAGCCCAAAAATGGTTGCCAAGGGAGCCACTGGTTGGGGGAGCTGAGCCCCCAGGGACCAAAGTCACCTGTGGGGTTCTCTTGCAGGCCAGTTTATTTTGCTGTGCTAATTTATTCCTTTGGCAACTTGGATGACAGTAAGAAGTGTGTCTGGGTAAAACAAATTCATCATGACCAACAATAAAAGCAACTGGAAACCTATATCCCAGTGATAAAGACTCAATGATATTGCTAAGTGTCAGGTTTAGAAGACAATCCTGGGTCACAATTTCTCAGTCCAAAAGTGTCATGGGGTCGAATGATGGATTGCTAACCTCAGTTTATTTATTTTTTCTTGGAGGACTTCATCCTTGGCCAGCAGCACTCTGTGGATGTTTTCTGCTCTGCCTGGACATAGAGGATAGGCAGACAATGACCCTGAGTTGGTTTTGGCATTTCATTTTGGTGTTAGAGGAAAAAAGTTCAGGATGTGTCCACATGAAGTCATGTCCTACGGAGGACTGGCAATCTGTGATTCTGGCTTGTGAAGGCTTAAAAAAACTATAAGGAAACAGCTGTTGAATATATGTGAAAGTCAATGGATCAGAGATACTAGTTGACTTTGAAATATGATGAAGTCTGTGAAAAGCTGTCAGGATATCAGGATAATATGACTGGGCTCTGCAGGACAGGTGACTGTTTTTCCTTCTCTTCCTACCACCCCCTTACCATTAATTTACTGCTGACCAGGATCTGACTTGCACCCTTTCTACCCACCAAGGGGATTTGAGAAAAAGAGAGAGAGAGAGAATGCTAGGAACCCAAGATGGATTGAAATAATTGACCATTTCACATCATCTTAAATTACTCCAGAGAAAAGTTGCCCTCAGGAATGCTTTCTTTTCATCCTCAAGGAATTAAACATTTTGAAAGGATTCCAACTAATGCTCTTTCAAGAACTAGAAACAATAAAAAGACACCTGGGGTTTGAATACAGTTTGTGGCAAGGATGGCTACTTCTCTGAATTCAATAACCATGGACTGGACAGAGTACTGGACTGACCTTCCAGACAATTTCCTTGTCTGAACTGGAAGCTTAGGACAAGCCTGACGTCTCTGAAACTGCCTGAAAGTCTAAGTGGGCAGGCAAAGGGAGTTCTGTTCAACTTTAATAAAGTTCTCTTCAGCAATTCAAGCAGAGACATCAATTTCCTACCA